ATGACAGGCGTGCGCCACTGCACCTGCCTTTATTTATTTATTTTTATGTGGTGCTAAGGATCAAACCTAGGGCCTCCCACGTGCCAGGCAAGCGCTGTACCCCAGACTGCCTGGTATGTTTGAGCCAGGAAACTAAGACATGTTTGAGATATTGAGAGAGTGAGTGTRTGAGACTGTGTGTGTGTTCCTACAAGGCTCAGTTTCTCTGGGGCCCTCACATTTCCTCAGATGAAATTCTGCAAAAGCAAATRCAATATTTTCTTCATACTCCCCTGGATCCCCGAGATCTCAGCCACATTGGAAGAGATTTGCAATTTCAAAACAGACATCCGCAGAGCCGACTGCTTGGGTGACACCTTCGCAGTTATTGCCACATCTGAACACTGGCCTCGGTGGTTTTGGGGTGTTCTCCTGAGAAGAACGTACTGTTCTCCCTGGTGCTGTTGGCCTGGTCCCAACCTGTATCTGTACTTTCATATGATTTTCTATTTTGCTAATTAACCTTAAACAATTTCCTATATTTCATCAAAAACACTTTTTTGGGTTGGTTGGTTTTGGTATTGGGAATGGAACCCAGAAACTGGGCCACATCTGCAGCCCCCTTTATTTTTTTTTTATTTTGGGACACGGTCTCGCTAAGTTGCTCAGAGTCTTGCTAAGTTGCTGAGGCTGGCCTCCACCTTGCCATCCTCCTGCCTCGGCCTCCCGAGCCCCCGGGATGACAGGCGTGCGCCACTGCACCTGGCTTACTGTAGGTCTTTCTCATTTGAGGYGGCTGGAAATTTTTGTGGAGAGATCTAGTCTTTAAATTTAGGCCTCAAAGAAAGTTCATTAGTTTTCTAGAATGTTCAGTGGCCTGCACTGGGATTGGTTGTAGCCTCTCCACTGTCTTGCGTGACACTCATTCTGGGGTCTCCATGTTGACTCTGGAGCTCTCTCGGGTTGTGCTGAGGGGGAACCTGTCACACAAGGGGCGGAGGGCGGGCCAGCTCCTCCTCATGGCCTGTCACCTACTAGCTGACCCATCTCTCTTCCCTYTCCTTCCCCACCCGCCCTCCTGACCCGTGGGCTAGGATGCCCGCCATCTTGGATGGAGAGGAGGCTGTGTCCAAATGGCTCGACTTTGGGGAGGTGTCTACCCAGGAAGCCCTGAAGCTGATCCACCCCACAGAGAACATCACCTTCCACCCCGTCTCCTCTGTGGTGAACAACTCCCGCAACGACACGCCCGAGTGTGTCACACCTCTCAGCCTTGTGGTCAGAAAGGTAAGGAGGACTTGTGASCTGGGACAGAGCCCAGGGGCACTTAACCGCTGAGCCACATCCCCAGCCCTTTCTCTATTTGATTTGGAGACAGACTCTTGCTAAATTGCTTAGGGCCTCRCTAAGTTGCTGAGGCTGGCCTCTACCCTGTGATCCTCCTGCCTCAGCCTCCCAGTCACTAGGATTACACCACCAGGCCTAGAGCTCAACTGCTTTTCTTTATTTCAATTGTTAAACGGACACAAGCTTTCCAAAACATGGAGGGACACAAGGAAGAAAGGTAGCCTAGCATATTTTCAAAACAAATRCGACCAAAATTTAATTACCTGTTGAACAAAATGCCTTTTTGATTCTCTCCTCTCCCAAAAATCCATGTGATAAACCAAGACAGAAAGTACCAGCAACTACTCAGAAGCCAGTTTATTTTGAGACAGGATCATGCTGAGTTGCTGAGGCTGGCCTCCAACTTGTCATCCTCCTGCCTCGGCCTCAAGAGTTACTGGGAATTATAGGTTTGCGCCCCTGGGGCCCAGCTGAGTATGGGGCCCAGTGACCTCTCAGGAGATACTCCACCCCAGACATCCATGAAGCCCGGGCCAAGACCACACAGATGGAAACTGAATATTTGGTCCTGCTGGGGGCAAATACCGCACAGCCCACATCTGCATCCTCATTCTGCTCAGCTCCCCAGGGACTTCAGACATATTTTCGGGGGCAGGTCGGTTGCAAAACAGCGCTTCCTCTGTTATTCACATCACCCCCGTGATGACACAAAAATCAGTCAAGAAAATCAGATCACCAACCSTACCAGCTCCATTGAACACGACACAAGGGCTAGGGCTGTGGCTTAGAGGTAGAGCGCTCGCCTAGCAGGGTCAAGGCCCTGGGTTCGATCCTCAGCACCACGTAAAAATACATGAAATAAAGGTATTGAGCCCAACCACAGCTAAAAAATATTAAAATAACACACACAAAAATAAACATTTTCTTTCCACCTCCCAATTCATCCTACCACAGTTAACAAGACCCGCGGACTCGGAAACCCAGACTTCACCTTTCTGCCCACTCATCTCTATATAATTTTTTTTTTGTACTGGGGATGGAACCCAGGGGCTCAATTAACCCCTGAGCCCCGTCCCCAGCCCTTTTTTCTATTTTATTTAGAGACAGGGTCTCACCGAGTTGCTTAGCGCCTCGTTTTTGCTGAGGCTGGCCTTGAATTCACAATCCTCCTGCCTCGGCCTCCTGAGTCGCTGGGTGACAGGCATGCACCATCACGCCAGGCTTCTGCAAGGTCTTTACTCTGTAAGCAAAGTCACTTTCTAGACAGGTGGCATTTGCTAATTCAGTTTGGGTTTGGGCTGTGGGTGTCAACGCAGCAGCGGGAGCAGTGACAACAGTTAAGGAGAATTTGTACAGAGGCCACACATACAGGGAGGACTTTAGCTTCAATCCCTCATCACTGTGGCTCTTGGAAGTTCATCCTTGCGTCCATAGCCTCATTTCCAACCCAACCCCCTGGTGACACTGAATTCCCTTCTGGGTTTTGTTTTTACCTTTTTTTGTTGTTTTGANCCGAGTTGCTTAGCGCCTCGTTTTTGCTGAGGCTGGCCTTGAATTCACAATCCTCCTGCCTCGGCCTCCTGAGTCGCTGGGTGACAGGCATGCACCATCACGCCAGGCTTCTGCAAGGTCTTTACTCTGTAAGCAAAGTCACTTTCTAGACAGGTGGCATTTGCTAATTCAGTTTGGGTTTGGGCTGTGGGTGTCAACGCAGCAGCGGGAGCAGTGACAACAGTTAAGGAGAATTTGTACAGAGGCCACACATACAGGGAGGACTTTAGCTTCAATCCCTCATCACTGTGGCTCTTGGAAGTTCATCCTTGCGTCCATAGCCTCATTTCCAACCCAACCCCCTGGTGACACTGAATTCCCTTCTGGGTTTTGTTTTTACCTTTTTTTGTTGTTTTGACGCAGTCTTGCTAAGTTGCTGAGGCTGGCCTCTAAGTTGCTGAGGCTGGCCTCTAAGTTGCTGAGGCTGGCCTCTAACTTGCGATCCTCCTGCCCCAGCCTCCCCAGCTGCTGGGATGACAGGTGGATGGAGTCACACATGGGCCTTTCCCCAAAGCCTGAACTGGGTGCTGTCACCTTCTCCTTCCTCCTAGGAACCCAAGGCAAGTGGCAGCAGCCAGATGATGATGCAGTGGCTGGCCACCAAGTCCCCCAAAAAGGAGGAACCCAGGTCACCCCAAAAGGACAAGTCCGATGTTCCGCAGTGGACCAGCCAGTTCCTGCAGAGGAGTCCACCCCCCGCCAAGAGAGCGGCCCCCGGCCTCCTGGACCGATGGCTGAAGAGGGACAAGGAGGAACCGGCGGCCAAGCGGCCTCACTGCCAATAGCGGCCTCCAGAGAGGCCCAGGTGAGGTCCTAGTGGAGGCCGCTGCTCAGGCTCAGGGAGGCTCCTTGCATTCTGCATACGGCCCCCGGTTAGGCTGGCCACTGTGGGCTCCCGGGCAGATGGGCCACCCTGGCCTTGGCGGTGGTCCCCCTGCCGCAGCGCAGGGCTGCTGGGAATGAGGGGGACCCGTTGCTCCAGGCTCTTCCCAGCCGCCGGGTGCTGTTAAAATTATGTTCCTAAAGTTTATTTTTTTCCTGAATAAATTATATTTGATAGCTTTGTCCTACGCACTGGATGGAGAGTGACATGGGTCGAGGAAGCGTCAGTCCTGAGCTCACCCRGTTTGCTGGTTACAAACCAAAGCTATTTTTTGGGGGGGTACTGGGGAGTGAACCCAGAGGCGCTTAAACCCTGAGCCCCGTCCCCAGCCCTTTTGATATATTATTTAGAAACAGGGTCTCACTGARTTGCTTAGGGCCTTGCTAAATTGCCGAGGCTGGCCTCCAATTTGTGATCCTCCTGCCTCAGCCTCTCAGCTAAGCACCAATCTACAAAAAAACCTTGGAATCCGGGACACGCCCCTTGTCGAATCTCTTTYCACTCTTGATACTTGGAAGTTGTTGGAATTCTTCAGCTGAAAATCCACCTGAGTCCTGGTGCAGAGGCCAAGACCCTGTCCTTCCCGCTGGGAGAATGGAGTCCAGCCAGGAAGCCATCCCTGCCCCCCAAAGCTGTGCAAAGCTTCCCAGCCTTTGGCTAGAGCAAGCATCCGGGTGCCTGGGCTTGTGGATGGGGCTGTTTGCCCTCTGACTTCCCGAACCAGTGCTGCAGCTGTCCCCAAGCCCTGTGACCTGCTCTGTCTGCAAACGCTGGATCGCTTTAGAACTGATTGGTCTGAGTATTTACCCTCCGATTCTCCACCCACATCTTTCGATCCATGAAAGCAAGAATCACTGTTTTCTCCCCTTATTAACAGTACGTGCAAACATTCATTCAATGAACCTGAGCCCTCGTTGTGCGCCTGCCCAGCCGGAGGAAGGGGCTGTTGGGCACCTGGAGATGAAACCCAGGGGCTCTGGACCCAGCCCTTTCAAAATATTTTATTACTGAAGGCAGGGTCTCACTGAGCTGCTTAGGGCCTTGCTAAATTGCTGAGGCTGGCCTCCAATTTGCGATCCTCCTGCCCCAGCCTCCCCAGCTGCTGGGATGACAGCCTGCACCACCAGGCCAGGGTTTAACTGAGGGTTCCTGGCCAGGGCAGCGAGCTGGGGATGGCTGGGCGGGAGGGGACCGAAGGAGCACCCAGGCCAGGCCTCTCTTTCTCTAGGGAGCAACTAGGAGTGTGCAGCCTGCAAATCGACCTCCAGCGGGTGGCCACAGGCAGCCACCAGGCGACCCGAGAGCACGGGGTGTGGCCGGGCCGCGCTTCTCCGCTGCAGCCGGGCGCGAAGCACCGGGCGCTGGCCTTGGGCCCTATGCAAATCAGGGATGGAACTTCCACCAATCAGAGGGCAGCGCAGACCCTGGCCCTGCTAATGGGAGTGCGGGACGGGCGGGGCTGCCTCGCAGAGGGGGGCGGGGCCGAGCGAGGAGGGGAGGGGCGGGACCGAGCGGGGAGGGGAG